TTCTCCACTACAATCCTCCCTTAACTCTTGAATCTAACAACCCATTTCATTAAACTTAGCAGAGTCAGAACAACTAGAGATTAACACTAGCTTTATTATGGACTACTTGCTTATTAGAATGTTTTGGACATAGACTTATCATATATTCAATGTGTATACCTTTGGTAGTATGAGTGATATGAATCTAAATGAATTGACAATTCTACAACACAGCTCTGATAGATCTATGATTCAAATGCTGATTTCTGTTAAGGTATTGATTGCTTGTCTTTCTTCTAAAAAGAATGACCTGCCAACACAATTCACTTACCTGCCTTTCAGGTATATGGATTATGAACATCATGAATGTTCTTTAATCTGTGATTATGTACACTGCTGCATTTCTTTAAAACTTAAAGATACATTAAAATATATCTGGGGGCACATTTGTATCAACTTTCACATGAAAATTACCTTTCATGTTGTTCAGAACTTTGACAATGTTCTTCAACTTCAAGATCTTCCCAATTGTATCCTAAAATATAGGATGAGAAAATGTATGAAATATTACAGAAATTTGTGCAAAATTTAAGTTACTATCTTCAGTGATCCTTAGAACCATGCCTGATTTAGTCACCTCATTCTTCCTCATTCTCAATCAGAATTACCACAGAGCATCAATAACCAAGAAACAGTTGTTGCCTTAATTTAAAGTGTGAAGGAAAATTTACCTATGGCAGTGAGGCTCATATATGTCTCTAGCATCACATCTTTATAGACATTCTTCTGGGAAGGATCCAGCAATGCCCAGTCCTCTTGAGTGAAGTTGATATGCACATCATCATAGGTCTCAGCATCCTAAAATATGCCATACATAAGTATGCCATACATATGTATAAAACAAAAGCATGATACTGACAACATTGTAAATGCATGCTTCTTTGACAATATAGTCATATAATTCTGGTGCTTCTCACACTTATTCTACAACCCAGACATTACAATATAATCATCAATTTATTTTAGAATGAAACAGAATAGGAGGTTTGCTTCTATTGTTTCTGAATGCTTTGAATGGGATATCGCCTTGCAAGAGAAATGCCTATTAACAGACACAGAGAGACAAGCAAACACATCAGCAGTATTGAGTACACATCAGAGAAACTGAATGAATATTAGCTAACTACAAAAAAAGATGAATAAGCTTAGTGTATTGGCTCATGCCTTTAATCCCAGAACTCAGAAAGCAGAGGCAGGTATATGTGCTTCTGAGCTGAAAGTTAGTCTAGTCTATGCAATCAGTTCCAGGACAGCAAGAAGTAAATATTAAGAACCTGTCTGCACTGCAAACATCAATCAAATGTACAAAGAAGATAGGATAAACTCAGAGACTTTTTTTTAATGAAGTTGCTACAAAGAGTTAGGCATTCACTCCAGTTCTGTATTCATCTTCCAGAAACCTGAATTGCTCTAGTTTAAACTGTAGTTTAAAAAATCTTACTAAAAAGAACTGCTTATTGAAACAGTTACAAATAGACAGATGATAACATTAGCAATATTACCGTTGATTATAAATAATCAACGCAGGGCAGGACAGATGACTCAGAAGTAAAGAGCTTTTGCTGTTCCTTCATATAGATGGGTTCAATTGCCAGGACTTAAATGGGGAAATCACACATCTGTTCATTATTTCAAGCTCATGGGTTCTAAGACTCTCTTTTGACTGCTGCTAGGGCCACACATATGTGTGGTGCATATCCATGTATACAGGCAAAAGAATCATAGTTATTAAAAAAATCAAAACAAACAAAATGAGCAAAAGGAATGTTACACACATGTAATTTAAAGACTTAGAAGACCCAGGTACTATTACTGTCATCAATATTGCCATCCTGGGAAAGAGAATGATATGCTCTGCCAAAAGGATAAAGCTCAAAAAAGCAGCATAAGTTTGACATGTACAAAATTGTATTCTCTAGGCCAATCACCCAATAATATCTATAAAAAAAACCCTGGAATGTTGGCCAACTTTTTAATGTAAGCACGTAGAAGAAAGAGTCAGGTGAATCTCAGAGTTTAAGGCCAGGCTGGTGTACAGAACTATGTTTAGGACAGTCAGACAAAGTCTATCATCAGAAACAAATATAAAAACAGCAAAATTTTAAAAAACCATGCTAGAAAATGGCTTAGCATCGAATACTAGTTTGTTTAATTGTATCTTATGTGATTTAGTAATACCATCTATAATGGTGGTGAAGTCATGACAGTACAAGTAGGAATATGGTTGATTCATTTCAACCACAACATAATAGAAGCCTAGAAAAGGAATTGAGTTTGTTATCTTTAACGTTCCTCCAAAAGTCATCATTCTCAGAACCTTTGAATAAGAAAATCACTTTTGGTTTATCACATTCTGTTATAACTTAAATTTTTCTTGCTCTGATTCAATTGTCTAAACAAAAGTACCTCAGGTAAAGGATGTGCCTATTTGGCTCATTCTGCCAGATCACAATCCATCATTGTGGGAGCTTAGGTTAGAAATTCAATCTAGCAACTGAAGGCAAAACCATGAGGAATCTTCATTTCCTGGCTTTCTCTCTTACTTGTTCATTGTCTAATGCTTAGTTTACTGTCTTATCCAGTGCAGGCAAACTTTCTTAGGGATATTGTACACTCAGTGGAAGGGCCATCATCCATCAATCATCAATCAACAAAATCTCTCAAAGACTAAGCAACCAGCCATTCTGATGGGAACATCCTCAACTGATGTTCCCAAAGGTGATTGTAGAATCTGAATTATTGACATTTATTAAAACAATAATATGTGAGAAGATTTTTAAAAAAAAACAATATATCACTACACCAATAACTTAAGTAGGTAAAATGCAAATATTAATGATAATAACAACTAGAAACACAGATATGATAAAAAAAATGAGGAAATACAAGTTTCTAGGAGCAAGAAAAGGAAGCTTAATTTTTTGTACACAGAAAGTCGCCAAACCAAGAAACTCCTGACATAATGTTTCAGTTTTCCAGAAAATAAAAATAGGTAAGGGTTCATCATTTTTCAGAGAAACAAATACAACTAGATTATAGGCAGTGGACTGAGTCCTGTACTCAGTGCATGAGTTGGCTGTTGGAAACCTGGGACTTATACAGGGACACTTGTCTCAGCCTTGGTGGAGGGGACTGGACCTGCCTGGACTGAATCTACCAGGTTGAACTCAATCCTCAGGGGAGTCTTTGCCCTGGAGGAGATGGGAATGTGGGGTGGGCTGGGGAGAAGGCAGGGGGGAGAACAAGGGAATCTGTGGCTGATATGTAAAATTAAATTAAATTATAAAATAAAATAAAAAAAATAATCACACAACATAGATAGTACCATTGACAAAAGAAGACAGAGAGGCAGACATACAAATATAACATTGTCACTTGAACAAGAAATATTACATTCTAATGAAAATTCAAATCAAAGAAAACACTGACTAACACTCACCTTGTGCACTCCAGTTCTCGCCTTCACCAATAATAGAAAATGGGGTCAGTGGTGGAAGACACCTTTAATTCCAGCACTTGAGAGGCAGAGCCAGGAAGATCTCTATGAGTTCGAGGCCAGACTAGTCTACAGAGTGAGATCCAGGACAGACACCAAAACTACATAGAAAAATCTTGTCTCAAAAGACGAAAAAAATGGTTTGGGTGAGAAGGACTCTTCCACCAAAATTGGATAGACTTCCTTGAATTCTGATATTTCTACATTGTAGAAAATAGTTTTGACTCTTAAAGTTATATCATTCTCTGTTGGTAATGAAAAGGATGTCTGTTAGATCATTTAGAAACGATTTTCTTTCCTGTGATTGAAGATTGGATGTAAGTCTGCATCAGAGTGGGAAAATGGAAAATTTTCAAACCAAATGAAAGATAAAAGCTTTTTATTTTTTTTATTTTTATTTATTTTTTTTATGTTTCCATTTTTATTTGATATTTCCAAATGTAAAAAAGTCAAGATTCTTACACCAGTTCGAATGAGACCATCTCAAGTGAGACCATGCAAAGCAATTCTTCCTTTTCTGCTTCATACAATGTGATTGACAAAAAGAACTGGATGCCATGTGCTTGGTGGGGAAACACCACTTTACAAAAAACACCACACAGGGCTGCTTCTACTTTTCTGCAAGTCAATTTAAAACAATTTGCTGTTGTTTTTTACTTAGGCACATGGAACTGAAGAATTTAGCTGCCCGATTTTATTCAGCTACTCCACAAATAAGCACACAGCAGTCTCAGCACTGCCGATGGCAGAGGTCTGAGATGGTAGACATTACCTTTTTAGTAGATTCAACTACTTTTAAGAGAACTGAATCACCTTAGTTCTTTTCCTCTATAATCCTGCTGCTGGTCTCTGGGTTCCAGAATAGTAATAGGGAGCCCTCGGGTGAAATTTTAACAGTGAAGCTGCATTCTGGAAATCCTTTGCTACTGGCATAGACTAAAGACAGTTGGTTTGCTAAATGGTACTGAAGAAAATCCTGACCCAGGTGACATGACTTAGTCCAAATGTTTCTGACCAAAGAAATTATACAACAATATTTATAGGCTAACTTTTCAAGAGATGGTTGACATTAATACTGTACATATTTTACATGGCAATACATAGTCCAAGGGTTTATAAAATGAGTTCATGCACTGTTACTCTGAGAATATCATGTACATTTAAACCCCCAAGCACTTGTGATAATGCTAGCTGGAAGCAGTATTCTATACAAAGCAGTCCAGTTTCTCTGTTGTGTTTCGTACATAGAGAAATTGCAGACATTTGTGAGGAAAAAGTCTATTGGCAACTGATAGAAAATGTCAATCTGTGGGTTTTAAAATGTTTCCTTAAAAAAAAAAAGAAACAATACATGACCTCTGTACAAAGAAAAATATAAAAGGGCTGAATGATCATGTGTGACTACATAATTCAGAATGCATGTTACTGGCTGAGTTTTTCTACTTCACTCATTACTTTGACAGCATTAATTTGTAAACTAACAATTTTATTTAGTTCCGCTGCGTTTGTGGCACAAGATCTCATTCTCAGAACCAGTTTTCCTTAGACGTAAGGACCATTTCAGCAGCGATTACATTTTGGAGGTTAACAAGTTACAGAACAAAGGTCTTAATGGGTTCCCTGTTTTACGCTTGCCAGTGAGAGTATTTACAAAAGGTTAACGGTGGCTACATAAAGAATGATCTTTTCCTCATCCCACATCTGTCGAAGCTTTCCCCTCCCCTGTCACTTCCGACCTGGAGGAAGTGTACGAGTTCCAGACCAGGTTCTCTTTCACAGGATGGCTCCTATGTTCTGGGTCCCCTACAGTTAACTTACACAACAGACCACTCACTGACACTCAGACAACAGGAGAGATTCAGATGCACCCTGCCTTAGGCCTGGAACAGCGAAGAACAGAAATGGCCATTTTATTTAGCCGTAACAGTCATCACTGACTGGAACTCAAGGTTAGATTCGAATCCTGCGGTAAATTGATTGTTTTAACAATCTCTAAAGAGATGTCACTAAAAAAAAAAAAAAGCGCAATCTCCATCGAGGGAAATGTGGCCTTAATATATCCTATGTTCAAAGGGTTACAGAGGGAACTGACAACTTGGTATGCTAATAAACGTCTATAAATACAGTTCTCAGGATGAGATGTGCTCAGTCACATGCAAGCTGCTGACAGTATTTCCCTAGGATGACGAGCTCTTTGTATTTTATACTGAATCACTACAGTGTTAGAGGAAACGGTCCTAGTAGGTTGACGGTGACACTACTGGCTGTGAACATTCAAATTATTGGAAATAGTGAACTGAAGTACTTTGTCAAAGGCGACAGCCCAAATCTGTAGTTTACAAATGGAGATTAGGACCCTCTTAAACAAGCTTTGGGGTGAATATATCTTTAAATACTGAGGATCTCTTCATTAATTCCCAACACAAAGATCAGGTGACTATTTGATACTCTAAGAAAAAAATGGTGTGTGTGTGAAAATACATACCCAACAACTTATTTAATAAGACCAGGCAAAATAAACCACAGAATGATGTCAAGTGGACAAAGTGGGGGTGGGGGGTGGGTCATAAAAAATGAAAACCAAAGTAATGGGGTGGAAGGTTATAATTAAGGCTCTAAAAAAATCCCACATGGCTTTGGCATCTTAAAATATTTTTATGCTACTTTGTTGTTTACTTTAAAAGACTTGAAAGCATCTGAAACACATGCAAATTATTTGAAATCCCCGCCTGGCAGATTCAGAGTTTGCCAGCAGCAGTCATATGTGTTAGAAGAAAAGTAAAAAAGCCTCTCCCTGTGACATCACGACAGGACACGGTGGGGGGAGGGTCCCCAGCTCTATCTTACACTGGATGGCACCCCTGGGGGCTGTGCAGCAGCAGTCACAAACAAGGCGTTGCTGTCTGGGAGGGAAGAGATGGTGGAGTTCCCATTGGTTGGCGAGCACCCCAGCTTTAGTTTTTCCAGATACTCTGCATGGACAGGCTTATGACACTGCAGAACCTTGATTGCATCTTCTACTTTGAACCACTCTCTCTTCCTTCCTATATTCACAGAATCTTCCCAGTCTTCCAATATTTCAGTGACTGTCAGAACATAAACATATGTTCTATGCTTCCGGTCTTGATTCTGCTCGAATATTCCCAGGAGTCTGCCTAATTTTCCTTTGACTCCAGCCTCTTCATATACTTCCCTCACAGCAGCACCGCCGGGCTCCTCCTCTTGCTCCATCCCTCCTCCTGGGACAATCCACTGGTCTGGGTACCTACTGCTACTCACCAACAGCACCTCGTCCTCCTGCTCGCTGCGGAAGCACAGGCAGGCCGCCGGCTTCTTGAAGCCCTCGCGGTCGTACGTCCGCGTCTGGTTGGGCTTGAACTTCATTCTAGAGCCGGGCTCCTGTTGCTGCTGCTGCTTCTGGTGCTGCTCCTGCTGCTGCTGCTGCTGCCACCGCTGCTCCGGCCGCCGCCGTGGGGACCTGGCCGCCGGGGAGTCGGGCCGAGGACGGTCACTGCGGAGCTCGGGCGCCGGCGGGGACGGGGCGGCGGCGCGGACACGGACGGCGAGGCGGGACGCGGGTCACTGCAGCCCTGGCGCAGCGGTGGGAGCGCCGCCTCTGCTCCAGCGCCCGCCACTCTCCATGGAGCCCGCTGCTGCTGCCGCCGCCGCCGCCGCCGCCGCCGATCGCAGCCACTCCCTGCTTGCAGCTGCCGCCGTCTCCACCACCTCCTCCACCGGGAGAAGAGCATGGCTCCAGGCTCGTGCCACGCGGAGACAGTTGGAGGCGGCCATGCCGAGCGGGCAGCGACGCCTAGGATGCGCGCCGCCCCCTTCGCCCGCATTTAAGCCGGGGACCCCGCCCGCCCGCCCGCTGGCGCGCGCCGATAAAAGCTTTTTAAATAAATATTGTGTGATTTCTATTCTATATCTAAAGCAAGCTGATTTCCTCTAATTGTTTTATAAGTCATAAGAGCTTTTGAAAACAAATCTAGCCATATTTTATGTGTATATTTATATGCGTGAAAGAGCATATTTTCCATGTATACAGATGACACAACAAAGAGCATATCAGATCCCCTGGATCTGGGAATATCAAATAGTTATAAGCCTAAAAACTTGGGTGCTGGTATCTGAACTCCCCCAAGAAGAATACTTGCAGAGTGACATGCACAGCCCACATAGTACTTTTTATTCAACAAACTGAAAGTCTTTCACAGATTAACCACAACAGAAACCTAAATAAGGAAATGAGGAAATGAATGATCTCTGGGAACCTAATGAATCGGTATTAAGATGTTGGGTATGGAATCAGGTAGGCTACCTTCAGACTTTCCCCACTCTCTGTTACCCAAGACCCAATACTCAGGGTCACCCCAAGGGCTGAAACAGAACTGCAGCTTCTCCTTTCCCTTTCCATGTCCCCTCTGGATTCCAAAAACCATCCTCACCTACTCTTCCCTACTCACTTCATATCTGAGTCACATCACTCAAATGGTCAGACACTCCTGGCTCAATTATTTGCTACATCTTCCAAAATGCCAGTTAAAATGCCTGCAGATCTACCACACTGTCACTTACCCTAGACCTTATTCTAAAAGTTGCCCTTACCACTGGAGTAGAACACCAGAGGCACCTCTGTCCTCTCCATATCTTCTGTGGATCCCTAACATCAGCTCCCCTGCATTTATTTTCCCCCAGCTTCCAACACCACCAAGCCTTCTCCCTTGAACACAACAGCCAAGAAGGCCAGGACAATACTCACTCAACACATACTCTGAAACTCCAAAGAACAAAGAGAAACCCAGAAACAAAACTCCAATCAAACCAAGATGATGTTAGAAACCAGTACCTAGACTTATAATCACCCCAAACCCAGATGCTGAGCGTAAGAACATAGTAACAGTCAGGGCAACATGGAACCAACAGAGCTCAGCTATACTATCACAGCAGGCCCTCAATTTTCTTTTTTTTAAAAGATTTATTTATTTTATATATACAGCATATATGACTGCATACCAGAAGAGGGCACCAGATCTCATTATAGATGGTTGTGAGCCACCATATGGTTGCTGGGAATTGAACTCAGGACCTCTGGAAGAGCAGTCAATGCTCTTAACCTCTGAGCCATTTATCCAGCTCCCTAAATTTTCTAACATAGCAGAAATACAAGAAAAAGACCTTAAAACAAACTATATGGAGATGATAGAGGTCCTTAAAAAGAAAATAAATAAATACCTTAAATAAATTCATGAAAGCACAAACAAACAGACAATTGGAGGAAATCAATAAATTCCTCCAAGAAAGCTAGAATAACACAAGCAATTGCAGTAAACCAGTAAACAACATAAATAAAGCCAAGATAAACCAACAAATAGTTGAAGGAAACAAAACTGTTTAAGACCTGAAAATGGAAATAGTAACAATAAACAAAACAGAAACTGAAGGAATTCCAGAAATGAAAAATTTAGGAGTACAAACAATACAAAAACTAAAGAGGCAAGGTTCACCAATAGAATAGAGAGATGGAAGTGAGAATCTCAGGCACTGGGGAAACAGTAGAATAAATGGATACATCAGTCAAAAAATGTTAAATATAAAAATTACTTGATGCAGCCGGGCGGTGGTGGCGCACGCCTTTAATCCCAGCACTCGGGAGGCAGAGCCAGGCGGATCTCTGTGAGTTCGAGGCCAGCCTGGGCTACCAAGTGGGTCCCAGGAAAGGCGCAAAGCTACACAGAGAAACCCTGTCTCGAAAAACCAAAAAAAAAAATTACTTGATGCAAAACAACCAAAAAATCTGGGACATTATGCAGAGATGAAACATGAATGACAGGAATAGAAGAAAGAGAAAAAACCCAGCTCAAATGTCCAGAAATATTTTCAATAAAATCATATAATAAATGTCTCCTAAGTTAAAAGAGGTGTTGATGAAGGCACAAAGAAGCATGTAAAACACCACATAAATTGGATCAGAAGAGAAAGATCCCTTGTCACATAATAAGCAAATCAATAAACATACAGAACAAACAAGAATATTAAAAGCTACAAATGAAAAAAACCAAGTAACATATAAAGACAGACTTATGAAAATTGCACCTGACTTATCAGTGGAGATTCTAAAATCCATAAGGGCTTGGACATATTGATGCAGGCTCTAAGTAACCACAGATGCCATGCCAAATTACTATATACAGAAAATTTTCAATCACCATAAGGGAAGAATATAAGATATTACATGATAAAGTCCAATTTAAGCAATATCTATGTATAAATCAAGCATTACAGAAGGTACTAGAAGAAAAAATCCAACTCAAGGAAGCTAGCTACACACATGGAAACACAGTAAATAGATAATAAGAAGCAAATTAACAGTATGGATTAAAAAACAAAATCCATCCTTCCACTGCATACAAGAAACACACTTCAAAATCAAGGATAGATATTTGTGAAAGGTGAAGGCTGGAAAAAAATTTCAATCAATTGGAATTAAGAAGCAGGCTTGTGTAGCCATTTTAGTATCTACCAAAATAGATGTCAACCAAAAATTAATCAAAAGAGTTGGGGAAAAATACTCCATATTCATCAAAGGTCAATTGCACAAATATGACATTTCAATTATTAAAATCTATGCCCCAAGCACAAGGTCACCCACTTTTGTAAAAGAAACACTTATACAGATCAAATGACACATTGACTCTCACACAGTGTTTGATAGTGGTAGACTTCAATACACCACTCTCACCAATGGACATGTCATCCAGATGAAAACCAGAAAAATATTGGATCTCATGGATTTTATAAACCATATGAATCTAATAGAATATTCTACCCAAAGAAAAAGAATACACCTTATTCTCAGCACAACATGGAATTCTCTCCAAAGGTGATGAAACACTTGGACACAATTCAAGTCTCAACATATACAAGAAGATTGAAACAACTACCTGCATCCTATCAGACCACTATGGATTACAGCTACATATTAAATCCAAGCAAACAAAAAACAGAAAGCTTCCAAACTCATGGAAAATGAACCAATCTCCACTGAAGAAAATATGTCAAGACAAAAATAAAGAAGGAAATTAAAGACTTTCTAGAATTCAAGGAAATAATACACAATGTATGCAAACTCAGGGGAAACAACAAAAGTGCTGATATGAGGAAACTTCATAGCACTAAGAGCCTATATAAAAAAGTTAAAAGAATGAAGAGATCTCATATTAGCAACTTAACAGCACATATGAAAAGTCTAAAACAAAAATAAGTAAGCATACCTAAGAGGAGTAGACTGTAAGAAACTATCAAATTGAGTAAAAAAAAAATTAACAGAATAGAAACAAAAAAAAATACAAGGAGTCAATGAAGCACAGATTTGGTTCTGTGAGAAAATCAACAAGACATACAAATCCTCATTCAAACTAAGAGACACAGAGAGAATATTATAATTTACAAAATCAAAAACAAAACTGGCCCTTAAAAATCTGGAGATTGAGGGGCTGGAGAAATGGCTCAGAGGTTAAGAGCACTGGCTGTTCTTCCAAAGGTCCTGAGTTCAGTTCCCGGCAACCACATGGTGGCTCACAGCCATCTATAATGAGATCTGGTGCCCTCTTCTGGTGGGCAGGGGTGCATGCAGATAAAACACTGTATACATAATAAATAAATCTTTAAAAATAATAAAAAAAAAAATCTGGAGATTGAAACAATCTGGAGGTAGACAGACTCTGGGGTTCCAATTTCAGTTATTCAATGAATCATAACTCCACTGCTTGATATCCTTGAGATCATTAAACTAATTAAGCACAGATTTCTAGTGTTGTAAATATAAAGTGAATTAAAGAGCAATTGCAATCATGAACATAGAGAAACAATACCCAATAAAAGATTTGCAAACTGATTCCAAGAATACATCCAAAAGATCATCCAAACTGATTGAGTAGGCTTCATCATAGAGAGGCAGTGATGACTCAATATATAAAAATCAGTAAATGCAATCCACCATAAAAATATACTGGAAAAAAACTATATCATCCCATTAGACATTAAAAAGCCTTTGACAAAATCATACATCATAAAAGTCTTGGAGAGATAAGGGATACAAGGTAAATACATAAGTGTAATAAAGGAAATTTACAGCAAGCCTATAGCTAACAACAAATTAAATGGAGAGAAATTCAAAGTAATTGCACTAAAATACGGAACAAGATAATGCTGTGAACTCTCTGTAGCTACTCAATATAGTACTTGAAGTTCAAGATAGACCAAAAAAACAACTGAAGGACATAAAAGAGATATAATTTAGAAAGGAAAAAGTCAAAGTATTATTATTTGTAGATGATATGATAGTATATTTAAGTGACAATAAAATTCCAACAAGGGGACTACAGCTGATTAACACTTTCAGCAAAGTGGCTAGATACAAGGGTAACT